CGACCTGCGTGCTGGGCGACCTCGCCGACGGCGGCGGCGCGTGGGCGGCTGCGCTGCGCGGCGCGGACGCCGTCGTCCACTTCTCCGCCGTCAACCCCTACCCGAACGCGAGCTGGGAGGAGAGCGCCGCCTCGATGCTGCACACCTTCAACGTGCTGCTGCTCGCGGAGCGCGCAGGCGTGCGGCGCGTGGTGCTCGCGTCGTCGAACCACGTCATGGGCGGGTACAAGGAGAAGCGCTCTCACGGCCTCGTCCGCCCAGCCGACCCGCCCGCCTGCGGCACGCCGCTGCGCGACCCGGTCCTCGCGGCGTCGGGGGACGCGGTCGCCTGTTTCTTGTTTAGCCGCGGTGTCTCTTTTGTAGGCGCACCTCGCTGCGTCCGGGGACGCGGTCGCCTACGCGGTCGCCAAGCTCACGGGCGAACAGCTATGCACGTCGCGGTGTACTTTTGTCGTCGGGGTTCTGTTTTAGCGCGGCCTTTCCTTTTAGGCGAGCAGCTCTGCAAGTCGCTTGCGGCAACGCGGCGCGGCCTGCTGCCCGGCCCGTCCTACTACATGCTGCGGATCGGTGTGTGCCCCCAGAAGCGGAGTCTTTGTTCCACCCAGCGCTTCCAGCCGTGTTCCAACCGTTTCCAACCAGCGCTCGAGAGGACACGGATTCCGCCGTGTGCAGATGGATCCCGCTGTTCATTGATTCGCGGCCCCTCGAATTCGCGCGTTGCACCGAGTACACGGCACGAGACCGCACTGCCGCCCTGATTGTGGCGATCCCATGACGTATTCCCGTCCCGAGAGGATTGCATCCTTCCATGATTATTGACAATGATTCTATTAGGCTGGTGCCAGCCCGGCGAGAATCTGCCAGCCACGCTGTCCGCCGCCGGAGTGCCGCCCGAGTTCCCGATCCTAGAATTCAGCAAAAGCACACAGCAGACAGGCTCGACACAGGTGCGGAGTGGCGCGTGCTAGCACTAACACAGGCAAACCACCGGAGCCGGCTAAGCGACTCCGTTAAGATCCCAGAAGCAGAATACGTGTACCCCAACGAGCGCTCGAGAGGACACGTCTCCAGTCGTGTTCAGCCGTATTCAGCCGTGTTCACTGCATTCGCCTCTTTCGTATGCACGCGTGCTCTGGATACACTGCCCAGTGCCATTTGCCCTGAGGTTCGTTTTGCCGCGTAGGTTCCAGACACAGGGCGTCGGCGGCGAGGCGGCCGCCGCCGAAGCGGAGGACGTGGACGGCGATTGGTTCACGGGCATGTGGCTGTCGAACCGCGATTTCTTGTCGTATTTCGAGGCGGCGCTGCGCGCTCCGGCGCCCTCGGCCGGCGAGGCTGTCCCCGCCGGCCATTCGCCTTCATTGGCGCGGCTCTTCATTTCCTCGTAGGCGCCTCCCTCCGGCGAGGCTGTCCTCGTCAACGCGATGTCCAACAACACCGGCATGCGCTGGTCGCTCGAAGAGACGGTCGCCGCGCTCGGCGTCGCCGCGCAGGACGACGCGCGCAGGCCGTGAGCAGCTGGGCGAGCTCTGGCGTACGTTAGGGGTTTGGTCGCGCATGCCGTTAGAGTGCCACACGCACGCGGTCTTACCGGTCTGTCGGTGCCGCGCGGCGCTGAAATGCATTTCCATGACCGGTAAAAGAGAGCGAAGATAACCCGCATTTTTTCGACGCG